TACCGGTCAACAATAATCCATTCTTGCATGCCGGCTGGGTCTTTATTGTAACCAATGAAGGTTTTYTRTAATAAGGAAATATGGACCAAAGARGACAAACCCACTACAACAGCTGTCAAGTCTGATGACAGAGATCTGGACAAACTTAAAAATGAACTAAAGAGACTATGTTCATCATACAGTACTCTTTCTGGTGAGTTTTTCTGGCTTTTTACGTTTGTCGACATTGCAGTTTTGGAAATATCAATAATTCACCTTGTTTTTGTAGGTTTGAATCATTTGTTTTATAAATACAAGAACGCTTCCTAAACCTTAATATTGCCGTAATAGAGATMCAAGCATTCGACCTATCAGTCCATCCTCAGGGAATAATGAGATAACGGTCAAAGATGTTATTTACAAACAATCTATGGAAACGCAAAGATAAGGTTAAGGCCCCGTCCACAGTACCCGGAAATCTTTGTTTACGAAAATTTTTTATTTCTTCAATACACTCATCAAATGATTTATTTGATTTACAGAAATATCGAAAGTAAGGCCTCTAAAGTTTGAAAAAGACGATGACAATAATGGCCATATCGACTTCATAACATCATCAGCTGTATGTATGGATTTGGTTTGGTTTGGTTATTGCATGTATCAATAGCCAATTCCAAGTTTTCGAATGTGAGGCTAGTAACGAAAAAGATGCATGAAATCGAGGCTTGGTGTCATATTTTACGGCAGGGCAAATTGAAATACGAACAAATAGGTATTGTTTTACCTTTTGGATTACGAAGAGACTGCGTGGTAATTTTCTCGCTTCCGATGGAAATTTCATGGCTTGATTGGCCACTTTTGTCCGTACTTACGTACGTATATACTTGCAACGTGTTGCAGAATGAATTATTGCGCGAAAAATCGTCTATCTTACACGGCAACGATTTTTCGTGTAACAGCGTTGCGCGAAAAATCGGCGTTTCAAGTTGGCCCGTGTAACACCACCTTAAGACTTGGCTAATGAGTCTCGATACGAGAATGATTTTGCTACAACTTAGAAGTTACAAAAATTGAACCAAATGTCCACAATATTTAGCCATGAAAATTCCATAGTGGGAGAGTAGAAAGGTCGAAAATAAAGACGCGCGCGAAGAAACGATGTAGTGCATTTTGATGGATGATTGAATTTTATATTTTTCGAGATCGTATCTTCACCTTTCAGTTTTATCAAACTTTGGCTCCCTGTGCCTAAAACAACGAGAGCTCCGYTTTTAGGCAGTGCCTTAATTTATGTATTACATTAACACAAATAAATAACACGATTACATAGCTTCCGCATTTCGATTCCACTTTACCACCAAATCTTGTTTCGTGCATCAGTGCTAACCGTTCAGGAGTGGGCTATTTTAACCAAGTTATTCAATCATAAGTGCCCAAAATTATGTGTTTTGTCTTTATTCAACATTGTGATATGTCGTTTTTGTGCAACTATGATCAGTTAACAAAATCATTGATATTGAAATCACAAATTCGGAACCTCTTGCWGTTTCAAAAAAAACTTTTTCTGTCCTTTTATAGGCCAATCTTTATTTACGTTTTTTCCTCATCAGCATAAATAGAGATGGGCATATTGATCATAGTTCTCATTACTTCAGACGGTGTAAAACAAGAGAGCATAAATAAGAGAGGTTTTTAGAAACCGGATGCAGTTTAAATTTCGCCTTACCCTCCTCCCGTGCGTCAACTTCTGCGCGCGCTCTTTCCGTTTGTTGKTTTTATCACTAGAAATGAGATGATGATAACAAACTGAATTAGTACAAATACACAGGTGATTATTGAAAATCTCGCGCGCTGATTGGTCGAGAAACTCATACTATCACACGATAATCACCTCCAGCAATAATCCAAAATGGCGGCCAGCCGCTTCGTTGCTGTTACCGGAAAAAAATCGCGCGCGATACTAAGAAGTTTCCCTCTCTTATTTATGCTCTCTTGTGTAAAATTATGTTTGTTGTACGAATATTTTTGATAATTCTTTATCATTCACCGCTAGCTGAATCCTCTTTATATTTACTCATCTCAAGCATGCTCGTAACATTATGTTATGATTGTTTTACTAACCCGTAGAACCTGCGAGCGCGGATGTACAACATAGAACCGGTAGATCGTTTAAAGGTTAAGAAAATAGCAGGGAAAATAATTCCAGCAATTGCTACAACTACAGCAGCCGTCGCAGGATTGGTATGTGCACTATTAAATGATGAAGTTAACAAATACATTATTCAGACCAACAGAAAGACATATATAAATATCTAAACATATAAGTAAATATACAGACAGACAGACATCATATTATTAGATATATATACAGACAGACGACATACAGACGGTACATATCTAATCATAGTTAACAATTATTCACTGCGAAGGCAAAGTGATTACTGGTGATTCTTATATAGCTAAGAATTTAATTTTACGTAGTGGAGTGATAGAAGCTTTAGAGAAATACTGCAATCCGTGATATTATGAAGTGATTGGATCTCACAGATTCTGGAATACTCCCTACCAAGAACCTTTTGATAAATTATTAACAGACCTTGAAACGAGAGCAGCTTTCTGCAATTTTCAAGAAAAGTACAGGATGATGAGAGAGAAAAAAGTGTTTACAGTGACAGGAAAACTTCGGTAATACTCCTTAGAGTAGAAAATTTGCAGAGCTTTTGAACAGTCTAACAAGCAAGTCAGAGAATTCAGAAACACTTTTACAAGCACTAAAAATTCCTCACATCAAGTAAATAAACTGTCAAGCAAAAGCACTCAAAGGACACATGACATGAAGAAATCTACCAATGAACACAAAGTCGCAAAACAAGGAAGTAACTGTTTACAATTTTTTTGAGGGCTAAAAATGTCCTGCTTGGAGCAAAACGTGTGACAAATGCAAAGGACTCAACCATTTCAAATCTAGATATGGTAAGAAGGTCATTAACCATGACTGGAAATAGTGTTACAGCAACAATCCTTGTGAATGAACTTGATGTCAAATTCCAACTTTCCATAGGGCCGCAGATGTAAATCAGAAATAAGAAATCACCTTTTATGGATATAGAATCACAGTGAACGGATGCAAGTCTATGAAGCAAAGGTCGAAGCCACAAACGRCATGCCTGYACCCAGTGACGTAGAAGGTGTCAGACGTCTTTGCGGCATGGTTCAATATATATGCCAAGATTCGTTCCGGAACACTTGAACCAAAACGAGCATTGGCTAAAAAAAGATGTCCTATTTGTATGTTCTGAAGAATGTGAAAAGGCTTTAAACACACTTAAGAAGAATCTTTCAGAATCTGCGTGTTTGGCTTACAAGTGGATAACAGTAAACAATAGTACAACARTAATGGAATTGGTGCAGTACTACTGCAAAACGGTCGTCCCGTAGAGAACGCATCACGTGCGCTGACACCACCAGAAAGGAATTGGGCATRTATGGCCTTGAGCGATTCGATCGGTACACTYATTGTCGATACGGTAGAGAATGACCATAAACYAAGAGAATATGAACTAAGAGAAGGAATCCTACCGATATAGCCTTGTAACCATCATGTGCACAGTTTGATGCTATTTTTAGCTTGGAGATATTTTGAGCGAAGAACCTGATTGGTTGATCAGGTTGAGGGTAGGCGGCTTCCAGTCTTGCAATAAACAAAAGCCTGTGTTTTTGTCGTGGACGTTGCGAAATATGGCGCTTTTCATGTMCTAAAACGAGGCATTAAAGGGAAGCATGATTATCGCGCGGGCATGGTGACGAGTTACTGAAATAGCATCAATGATTCTAAAAATAGCATCAAAGTGTRCACATGATGGGGCACCGGGATTCCTTCTCTTAGTTCATTTTCTCTTGCCATAAACCCCTTACCACGATACTGGGCAAACCTCTAAGTATGGCTTTGAAACGTCTTCAAGACATGATGTAAAGGGAAAGAAGCACGACACTCCTTCTTGTGCTTTGTCTTATTTTGACATTCGTGGCTCCCTAGCAGTAGTAGATGGAATATTGCTGAAAGGAGAAGCTGTTGTAATTCCCTCCGAGCTAAGAGCATCAATAACGAAAAGAATCCACAGTTCTCACCTCGGTYGTGAAGGTAAACTACGTAGAGCAAGAGACACTGTTATCTTAGCCTAGCATGGCTGGTGACATAGACGTACTTGCTCCAATTGTCGCTCTCTATTTTGTTTCCGTTACAGACTCGAATTCAAATAGTGCACTTCCTGTTGCGACGGCTTTCCAAAGGCGAGCRAGACCCCCTGACTATAACTTGGTCTCTCATGTTCTTATTTCTCTTTGGCTAAGAATCAGAAAACCAATTACGTCAACGGACAGGATCCTGTCCGCGAACATTAACGAGGTGCCGAGTTTAACAAGCCTCGCTCGCCTTCTCGTTTATTTCGCGCCATTTCCCTCGGAAAACCGTCGTAACCGGAATTGCACTATTCGAATCCAAGCTTGCAACGGGAAAAATCCTTGAGCGAGACTTAGGGCAAGTCTACTGGTGACATAAAGCAGATGGCTGATGCGTGTGAAATCTGCCAGCAGATGGAAGCAAAGAACGTACAAGAACCTCTGAACTAACAGACCAATGGTGACGAACCATGGCAAAAGATTGGACTTGACCTCTTTCAAATAGCAAAAATCACTAACCCCATAGTATTTAGCTATTATTCTAACTTCATTTAATAAAGTTGATCTTCTCACAACACAGAAAAGTACTCTTACAATAACTCTACTTAAGATTCACTTCTCTCGATATGGTATACTTAGAATGATTGTGTCTGACGGTGGTCTACAATTCACAAGCCAAGAGCTTGACTAATTCTCTAAGAACTGGGATATCATACACGTGACCTACTCACCAATGCACCGCGAAGACCATGAAAAAMCTCCTGAATCAAGACCTAAAAAGAAGGCGGTGTTCCTTGTGAAGCAATGTTAGGAGAGAGAAACACACCTAAGCAAGATACTTGACGTAGTCCTGTGTTCAAGCGTAAAATGCACTCTTTTCTACCTACCGTAAACAGTCAGCACAAAGACACTGGCATTGAAAAAAGACGTGAATGTTTTCCAACACGTCGAAGGACTGAGGTCACTAAAATCCTAAGTCMCAACACTTACCAGGTGAAAGAACCTGATGGAGGTACTTATCGAAGAAACCGTACACACCGGCATAAGACCTACCAATTAAAGTACGTACATTACAGAGCCAATCCCTGTGTCATTCAMCTAAGGAAGTTTCAATGTAATTTATTAATTATTAATGTTTAATGAATCAGCAGTGCACGTTTTATATTTCTACGCACTACCCATGTACTAGAACGTATTCAGAAAAGACTAAGTTTTGTCCTGTATCTATAATTGAAAAGTATATGAAAGTTGCTAATATTAGTGCATGTAGTGAGCTACCATTGTTTAGACGTATTGTTAAGATAAAATCTGGATATAAACTAGGAAATGAGAAGTTCTCCTATACCAGATGTAGAGAAATAATTAAAGATTGCATTACCTCTTTAGGTTACGAGGCTAAAGATTATGGCCTTCATAGTTTAAGGTCCGGTGGAGAAACCACCGCTGTTTTGAAATATCAATCAATATCAAAAAGGCCCTTGAAATTACGCGGTCGTTGGAAAAGKGATATCGCGAAGGATATGTATATTCAAGAGTCGCAGCAAAATCGACTTAAAATCTCCAGAAGTCTTGGTATTTAGGTTGTCATATTAACATTACTACGTTATTAATATGTTGTAAGTTCTAATACACTGATTTGTTGGGTCCGCGAGCCAACCTACCTAAAAGGATACATATTTTTTCAAAAAGTTTATTTTTGATTTTTGTTCTGCAGGCAACTATTGAGCTGGTGAAGTTTGTGATGAAAACTTCCCYTACTGATTACCGAAATTGTTTTATGAATCTTGCCTTACCTTACATCATTTTTTCTGAGCCGGGACCAGCTAAAATGATCCCTATAAAGTAAGTACTCGTAATCGTTTATTTATCATTTCAAGCTGGAATTATCACAATGCGGATACACACTAACCGGGCCACTTAAAAAAGATTTAAGATGAAGAACACTTTAGCCATGAGAATAAAGCAAAATCAGTATTGCATTTACTTCAGCCAATCACGCAGAGTAAATGTGTTTTGTTTTGTTTAGGGAAGGTTTAACATATTCTATCTGGGATCACTGGACGATACGAGGAAATATGGATTACACCCTAAGAGATTTTATCAACTACTTCAAGGTATAACGTTCTGCGTACTTCATAAACCAAAGCTCGCTTTTACTTGCCGACAAAATTTTAGTTAAAATTCTGCCGTGACAATCTTTCCAAGACACCACCAATACATTAGGCATTTGAGACTGAAAATAATTTGAGTGGTACTCGTACCCAGAGCCCACGTTCCTCTTGTCCAGTACCGAGAAACCTCTCGTTTCTAGGTGCTGACCACACAAGAGGAACGTGGGCTCTGGGAAGGAGATTGGATTGGGCTCGATAAATTTTGCTCAAGCCCACCAGTCTACGTCATTGGGAGAACCATTTTGTCGTCAAGGGCTTTTCTGTTATAGACCCCTTGCAGCACTTTGGAATGCAACTCATTCTGGGGAACAAAACAATAGTTTAAAAATYTCATGATATTGAAATTCTTTTGTTTTGTCCCCCAAATCGAGCTGCTTTGACGTAACATTCAAGAGGTCTATAACGGCATAAATCAATTTGTTAACCATTCTCTCATACACCTCCTATTGTTATCGATATCATTATCATGTCATTATAAC